GGTCATCCCGGAGCAGAGAACGACCGAGATGACGTAGCGGGCCAACCGGAGGAGGAAGGAGAAGGCAAAAGAAGAAACCGCAACCGCCACCAAAGCCGTGGCCGCCCATGCACGGAATGCCGCTGTGAACACCAAGGTCATCGCTACCAAAGCCGCACAAACCACCCTCCTCATGCTAGGGATTGAGCCAGCCCTTCTCGCCGCCGATGCCGCCGTCGCGACGGCCAATACGGGCTCATCAGTGGCCTGCCCGCCCAGTCACAACCGCTCGCCCCGCTTCTCCACCTCACCTCGGGACGGCTCGCCAGAAGTCGGTAATTCCACGTCGGTCGTCACTGTGGTGCCTCTCATTGATCTCAACTGGCCCACCTGTGGCCAGCCAGTCTACCGGCACCCAAAGGAAGCACCCGCGGCTGGTCTCCCCGGCCAACTTCCCTGATGCCTGCAACCTGTTTGATGGAATGCCGGCCCCGACGATAGACAACCCGATGTACTACGAGGAGTCCATGAAGAACTCCTTTGACATACAAAAGTAGAAACTCAAGATCGATGAGGCCAATGCCGTCAAGAGCCAAGGAAGTGAAGGTGAAGCAAAAAGAGGTAGAGCTCGCGCTAATCTCCAACTTCTATCCGTTTGGGTCGACCCGTTGGAGGTGCCTTAAGCCTAAATAAGGAAGATTGTTACACCAGGAACTGGTGGTGAGACTGAGACCATACAGGCACGAGGTAGAGGAAAATGACAGCCAAAAAATTAGTGCATCGCAGGCCACCACGCCGGCATCCATCCATCCTTCTCAACACATCACTTTCCGACTGGTCTTGTGGTACCCGTAATTATCCTCTCGAAAGCTAGCCGACGACAGAAATGGGCATCTGTGGTTTTCACTTCCTCCTTTTCAAATCAGATCCACGCAAGGTAGAATCCCTTCATTCCTAAGTTGAGAATATCTCACCACCCGTCTGAAGCAGCTGGAATATGTTCCTCCTCCACGGTCCACATCCACCAAGAAAAACCTAAAGAAGCAGCACCTCTTTCTGTTACAATGTCGACAGACCTGATACAGCCCTGATACTTGTGCACTAATTCACTGCAGGCCATATTTGACAGGAGGTGAAGAACTACCAGCTCTGGCCAAGCCAGCAATCTATTGACCATAAAATGCTCTGCTTACCGAGGAATCAACAACTACTGAATCCACACCCATTTCTCACTTTTACTATGCAGCTTGGTTTTCAGTCAGGTTAGGAAAGAGAGATTACAATGTGCTCGAGTAGAAAGCAACACAGGAAGCATGATTTGTGCATCACTGAGCTCACTCACTGTTGGTAAGAAATACAATGAGGGGGGCCTGTCACTGCTAAACTGCTAATAGATCATGCAATCTGTAGGGCGCGCACCCTGAAAAGCCTATACCAGCCATGATAAACTAATGAAACCCATGATTGATTAACAAGAGAAAAGGGCAAAACCAAACGGCGATGTATCACCCAACATCCTTTACAACCCATGTGAACATAATTAGATGGCCCATTGTGTACACCACGAAACAAAAACAATGTCCACATCACACCAGAAATCCAAGCCTAAAATTGTATAATAGCCGCCTACGAACAAAATGTATGCATCAATGGCTACGATCCAAGTACCAATCAGTCAACAAAGACCAGGTCCAAACCGGAATTCAGGTATGTGACCCGGGTTGTAGATTAGATAAGAGCAGCCCTCAGTGGCACAAAGAAAGTAAGCTCCTGATGTGCTCCTACTGAGCATTTCCAAGAGTGGCCAAGCAAGCAGAAATGGCTGATAACTTTGAATATCATATCATAACATCATCCATAACATGTCCTAAAGAAATTTTGCATATAAAGGTTTGGATTTGCGACTACATATAGCATAAGCTTGTTACAAAAGAATTTGGCCAAACATGAACAAGTCATATCCTTTGTCAAACACAGCATGCTCCATATACACCAAGAAAATATTAAGGTAGGTAAGGTAGAACACGCTACAAAAAAGAATTTCAGATTGGATTTTGAAGGCGAAGCTAACACATTGTAATTGTATTGCTGCTTCGTCCCCTTTCCTCGCCGCCGCCGCTTCCCCAGATCTCCCTCCTAGGCCGGCCATATCTACACATCGGAAGCAGCGGCAGATGTTGTTTCTTGGTCACGGGTCGCGGACGCGGGGGCTGGTGGCCGGCATGGCCACGCCGGGAGACGTCGGCGCCCGAGGCGAGTGGAGGCAGCCGAACCCGAGCGGCGATGTGGGGACGAGGATCGGCGACGGCATCCCGCGGAGCCGGCGCATGTAGGCTGAGATGGGGGACTCCGCCGACATGCAGACCGAAGGGAGCGCCGGGAGAGGGGAGAGCGTCGGCTGGGCCGGCGACGGCAGGATGGCCGCCGGGCGGGGCGGGGCCAGCGGCGGCGGCCGGATGCGGTGGAGCCGGGACGGGATGGCGGACAGCGGAGGCGGGGGCGGAGGGGCCATGATGGGGCGCGGAGGCGGAGGGGA